TGTGTTAATAGAATGTTAAAATAATAATAGGTGTTTCATTCCATGGATAACAGGCAAAGTGAAAATTGAGTTCTTAAATGGTTTATGTAATAAAAACCAGGAGTCAGATATACAGGAAAATGCAGAGATCAATGAGAAGGAGCAAGCCATTGCCACACCTCTCTTCCTTAGTGTCTCCCCAGATGAAAGTGATTTCCTGTTTCTCCCTGCTTATATCCTATTTCTTCCCACCTACCTCACTTCCTGTCTGTCTGTATAGATCTCCAGACCTCTATGGTTAGTTAGTGGGAAGATCCATTCTCTGACATTAAGACAGGCTTTATTTGTACAAGCAAGATATCACCACCACAGCAAAGTCAATAAAATTCAAGTGAAGCAGTAATTATTTGTAATTGGATTTAATAAATTACTTCAGAAATTCATGAACTTATGGTCATTAACTTTTATTTTATCATGGATTCTCTGTGTGAAGAGCTAAGTTCTGCTTAGATGGGTCTCCACACACATGTGATAGAGGTATTAATATAGTTGGAGTTTCTGTGTAAGTGTCACTGGGGAAGACCATGTTTCTAAGGTCTGAAAAATCATTGTTGGTGTGTGTGATGGTTAGGTTCAATGGCCAACTTGAGATCAAGAATCACCTCAGAGTTAGGCCTCTGAGAATACCAATTGTGTGTTATCTAGCTTAGGTTAATTGAAATGGTAGGAGCCAACCACTGTGGATAGGACTATCTCTCAGACTAAGATGGAGGACTGCAGAAGTGAAGTGTTAAGGTGATCATGGGCATTCATTGAACTCTGCTCCATCATTATCAATGTAATATAAATATTTACCCCAAATCGTCACTTTAACTTCCTTGTAACTTGGAATATCAAGAGAAAATAAAACCCTTTCTCTTTAGGTGACTTTGTTGTCATATTTTATCAAGTGTTAGAAAAGTAACTCAGCAACAGGAAAAGAGACTAAGGCACTGCAATTCATTTATGTGTTGCACTGGTAGTATCAGCACACTTTGGCTTTTGCATAGACTCCACCTAGAGTTACTATCTATATCAGCTTCCTCTATATCAAAACCTGTTTTTAAAAGGCCATTGGAGACAAAAATATCTGACTAGATAAAATTGTACAGGGATATTTCATGTTGTGTTATCATTGGAGCCACAATCTCTGATGAATTCAGTTTGATAGAATCAACTCATGAGAACAGACAGGGTCACAAAAACAAGATTAGGACAAGTAAGGCCATTACAGTGCCCAGGTTTGTACTCATGTCCAAACATTTTGCATAGAGATTTATTATTATTATCATATGAAATATGTTATTTCATATGCAGTTATCTTCTACCCAAAGTCAGTATTTGATGTATATATACTTCATGTCCATTTTAGTGAGATTGACTCATATTTATTCTCCAAAAATTTAGGTATCAGTGTTTAAAGAGTGAATTAGTGTCATCAATGAAACTCGAAGTGAGAAGATTGAAAAAACACTGCCAGAAATTGATAATCAATTATAGAGCAAATTCTATGTTAAAAGCTATAGAAACAATGAACCCCAGTTAACACTATAACTAAATTCCATGTGGTAACAAAATATTTGTTCACAGGCTGAACAGGATTAACTTAGGCCAAAAAATATCATACTATAATAGAAATTGTTGCTTCCAGAACAGAGAAAACAACTAAAATGTTGTAGCAATATACTGAGTTTGCCAAACTCATCCCAGATGACAGTCAATATAACATACCCATATTACCACAGAGAGGGAGACACCATAAAGATACTACCTACAAAGACTGTGTGTAATGCAAGCCTGCTGATGTTTCCCATGTAAAATCTGGTAAAGATTCTCTAGATGAAGAAATGATGTGGCTGAGATTCTTAAATTAGGCACTACATAGAAAATATTATTGAGATTCCTAATAGAAAACTCCAACATTTGCTAAGTAGATAGAATCAAATTGTCAATAATATTGACTATTTCAGTGGGGGCGTATAATGGATGAGAAATAGGATTTCATTATTTTACTCTTAGTTGCCATCTATCCTTAAGAGTGTAATTAATTTAACTGTTAATCTGGGAAGAGGAATGCTAAATTTAATCTATCCTTAAGTTTAAGAGTGTAATTAATTTAACTGTTAATCTGGGAAGAGGAATGCTAAATTTTACAAAACTTCTAATTCTTAAATTCCTTAATTTAACTTACATTGAACTATATTAAGCTTATTAACAGTGAGAGAAAATGTTCAATGGGATTCCATTTTTGCAGGCTAATTTGTAAGTACCAAAGTCTCAATTTAATTTTAAATTTATTAATCATTAAGTCAAAGCAACCTGGCCCACTACGAGGCAGGTTTTAGAGCATAAGTGCAATCACTTAGGGAATCTGTGTAATGTGGTAGCTGAAGTGAGGGCACTGAATTACTTGCCATGTACTTTATATTTAGTACATCCCTGGAGAAAGGACTATGCTTAATTTAGCCAGATCCCCAGGTGTAACTGTGCTGGTGTCCAGGAGCTTACTAGATGACAGCCTGTAATTGCTGTAACCCAATAGATTCAGGAGCTGACACAGAATCTTTACCATGGAGATTCACAAAAAATAGTAATTTTTGGACTGCATAAATATTTTAGTACTTTTAAAAATAAATTTGTTTTACATCCCAGCCACAGTTTCCCCTCCTCCTTCCCATCCCTTCTCTTCTCCCAGTTCCTCCTCCCCCATATCTTCTCTCTTCCCAACACTGACTCCCCCCAATCATCTCCTCCTCCATTACTGTTTATGGAAGGAAAGTTCTCCCATGAGTACCAACAAAGCATGAGTTACCAAGGTACAGTAAGACTAATCACCCCCTCCATGGTCAAGGTGAACCAGTAAGAGGAATAGCTTGCCAAAAGCTTGCAAAAGAATCTGAGACAGACCAGTTGCCACTCTTAAGACTCCCATAACTGATGGACTAGGTCAGTCTCATGAAGGTTTCCCAGTTGCCTGCTCAGTCTCTGTGAGCCTCTATGAGCCCAGATAGTTTTAATTTCTATTAATATCAAATTATGAACATGTTACAATAAATCTTTCTGCCAATAGCCGCCTGAGCCCTACCGCCACATGAGTGGTCTCCACCAGCCACCTGCCAGAGTTAGGCCCAAATGAATACACAGAAACTTGTATTCGGTACAGTGCTGCTTGGCAATGACTAGGACTTCTCATTTGCTAGCTTAGTCTTAACTATCATAAATCTATATATTTTATAAGACTTATCTTATCAGACGCCTTATTGGCGTCCCTCCTTGCAAGTGGATCACATTGTGCCACTGGAGCAGGAGCGGAGGTGAAAAAAGAGGGCCCTTCCTGTTTCTCCTTTGTTTAAATATGAGTCTCCTTGCTATGTTACTTCCTGCCTGGATCAGCACTTCTCTACTACATTTCCCAGAATCCTCTTTGACTTCTAGTCCTGTCTAACTTCTGGTCACATTAGCCAAACAGTATTTTATTTAACAATCAATAAGACAAACATACACAGTCCATTCCCCATCATGAGCATATGTCTTCATTAACTTATGTAGATGCATTTTCTTTACATTGATTCCATATAATCTTCTTCTTTTTTCATTGTTCTCTATTTTTCTTTTGAAGACTTCTGTCTACATCAATGAAATTTATAAATTCCTTCTCACAGTGAACTTCTCACTTGCCCCTGGCAGTTTTTTTTTGTGTGAATATACATGAGGTAAGTTTTTAATTTGCACATTCACTGTACACCTTGTCAGATGGCTGCTGTTCCCAATAGTTCGGAGGATTCTGGTCTTTGTTTAAACAAAAGTAAAAGTAGCAGTCTTTGTTGCATAAATGTTCTGAAGTTATAGCTCAAAGGTCAGCAGATGAGGAGCAGTTTCCAATGGAGTTTGAGTCTGAGTATCTGAACTCAGAGTTGTTAGTTTGGGATTTTTAAACTCTTGATTTGCTGAGAGATTTTGTTAAGTAGTCATATTTTGTCCTTTTAGCTCACTATTTACTCTACTTACATTTTTTGTCATGGAATTCTTCAAATAAAATTCACTTTACCAGTATTTATTCTGTGTTTCTTGTTCTTTCTTCTCTCTGTTTCCTGTGGCCTCACACTCACAACCCCTTCTGTTTTCACGTCAGATGCGAACTTTTGCCTCCTCTGTCCCCTTTATCACTGCTTCTTCATTTCTTTTGGTCTCCTGTCTAGTGGAGTTTCCAGAAATATTTTATCTTTTTATATCTCTTAACGTTTTGAACTATTGTAGATTAATTAATTTAAGTATGTACATATATTGCCAATGTTGTTGAAGTATCTTTTTCATTTTAACATGTATAACAATTATATTAATACTTTTTTAAAAATTTTAGAGAAAAACAGTGCACATGACCTTTTTTACTGACTGTGGTGATCAGTTGCTAGATTATTCTAAAGAGACACTTTGTATTATTTTTTAAAAAAATCAAAAGGCAAATTTTTATATTTCTGAGAACATAACAGAATCTATACATTTATAAACATTATATTTTACTTAGACTTATAATAATCCAGAGTGCTATATTTAAAAATGTGGGAATCACAAACACTAAAGTTTTCCTATGTCTTAAAAAGTAGCTGAATATCTGTGTCAGGGTCTAACACTAGACTTAAATCCAACATGCATATTCATTTTGTGAATAGTAAAGTTTCTCCATATAAAAATAGAGATAAGAAAAGCATTACATAAGGTTCTACCTTTGCATAGGACATAGAAGTTGGTGTTTTTATATTATTAAACTGTTCACTTACAATCTAAACTGAATTTTTTTTATTCAACAGTACTTTTATAGATTGATTTGCTATATGCTAGGCACTGTTTCTATACAGTAAATATAGTAGCAGTAACACACACAATAACACATTGAATTTCCTTCAGTGCTATTTATATTCTACTTAGTAAGACATGTTTTAAAAAAGCAGTACTTATATGATAATCCAATTATAATACCAACAGGTAAGGAAAACTAAAGAGGAAGGAGATGGTGACTATCAGAGTAATATGAAGATGGGAACTTTGACATGGATACTTAGAGAAGGTAAAATTAATGTTAATGATGATGCATACTGTATACAGAGACTCTACAAACACATGTGCTAGCCATAGCAACCATTTTTTCACAGATTACTGGGTATGTTTGGAAAAACACTTATACAATATTAACTTACACGCTAGGTGTATCATTTCAACGGCAAATAACATTACTGTGACAAACATGTTTCTATGCAGGGAAGTAACTTCTGGATCATGGAAAAAAGGATTATTCATCAATTTTGCATCATTTATACACACAAACCTCTATCTTATGGGCATAGATTGTTATAACTCTTAATTAAAATCTCTACTATAAAAACAAATCAAAGAAACTTAGACATCCTTGTCTGGAGGGCACATGACTCATTGCGTTTAAGGAGAACATTTACAATTTCTTCCGAGGCTTGGCAATTTCATCAACATAAATTCACATAAACTTATAACATTAAATTTTTATAGGGACTTTATTGACTTTAATGTTTATGAAATAGTAGGCATTTCAACTCCATATATTCAAATGTATTGATTTTTCTCAACCAGTACCATTGCTACAATGGCATTCCATTAAAAAATTACAGGCTAGAGTAGCTGTCTATTGGCAATTCCTATTGATCAGGCACAGAAATCTGAATATGTTGTGAACTAAAGTAGTTTATGCTTCAGGTTTATTTCTATTGGTTTCCTTTTAAATACAAAGAGGGATTTTTTTCTATCACTAAGAATTATTTCCAAATCACTCAGCATTTTTAGAAAAAAAATAACATGGCAAAATATTTTCTCTATTTAAGCTCAAAAGTTTTGTTCAAAGAAAATTAGTAATAATTCAAGTAAATAATGCCAATGGGGATACATGTCCTGTGTTAGGTGTGTCACAATTTATAAGATAAGCTAAATATATACATCAGATTGAGGATAGCTACATTATTCTATTATTGTGCCAGTCTCTGTCTACTTAACTGTATAGTATATATACAAGCAAAAGACAGCAACTGTATTGTAAAAGGGAATAAACCACAATTTTGCATGAGAAGACACATGCAAAAAATACTAAACACCAATGTTGGAGAATGTTGAGTGACAGCATTTTCCTGGAAGCATCATCCTTGAGCCTTGTTCCATAGCATTGTAACTACACCAGAACATTGCAGTAGTAGTCAGATATTGACACTAACTAGGCACAGTCAGCAAACAAGATCTGGGATTTCTGAAATGACTTGCCCCAGCTACAAGTGGCTTGGAAATATACTAGCCTGTATGTTGAAGTTATTTTCAAACATCACTGTTTATAAATTTCATTTAGGTGTTGGTAGTAACAAAGATTTTAACCATGTCACTAAGATGGAAATCCCTTAGGAAGCACTTGAGGGCTATTTTGAAAATGTTCTTTGTCCATGAGGAAACAATATGTTCCCAATGTCTATAAAAAATCCTTGAGATATGACAGACTCTGAAGACCCCCTATGGAAGGCCTCACGCTCCCTGGGGAGCAGAAAGTGTATGGGATACATAGGGTTTTAGTTGTGGGGGTGGCAGGGCAGGAGGGGAAGGAGAAGGAATTGGTATTGACATGTCAAACAATCTTGTTTCTAATTCAAAAAAATGGAAAAAAAGAATCATCGAAGAATTAAAGTAATTATATTTGGAGTTAGAGGAAAGAGTGTTTTCTTTTTATAGCTTCACAATAACTAACTTATGGTAGCTCAAAACATTTCTTTCAGATGCTTTATAATTAACTTACAACAATACAGTAAAATGTTTCCAAAATTTAAAATTAAAATTATCTTAATTAGTTACTTTTAAAGTATAATTACAACTTTCATGGGAAAAATTTGTGAAAAGATATTTACAATTGAGCTTTCTATAAGCCAGTTACAGTTTTTCATTGAAATCTTAATAATTAACTTACATAAATACAGGGAAAATTTTCATTATAGATAAATATCAATTAGGAGGAGTTCTTAAACAATAAAAATGGAAATGCCTTAGGTAGACATAATGGTATAATAGGTAGCATGTATTACAGATATCAACAGAAGTATGTCATTTTGGTATTCTTCTTAGTAGTCAAGTCCCAGAATCAACCTATGCATCCATCAACAGATAAATGTATACAGAAAATTTGGTAAATATGCACAAATTACTCCCATTTGTCAGCAAAGAATAGTATTAATTGTGGGAAATGAGTGGAACTGAATAATATCATGTTAAGTGAAATAAGCAGGAACCATAAGAACAAATATTACATCTTCTTTCTCACATGTGGAATATTAAAAGCCATTAAAAAGACTGTTGGGGATTACGAAGGGGTCCATCAAGTATGAGGATAAAGAAAGTAGGGGTAATATTTGGAGTAGAAATGATGAGCATGTATTATATACTTACATGAAAACATCATAATGAAACTCATTATTTCATAGTAGCTAATGTACAGTAAATTATATATTGCAAAGTAGTATTAAATATATATGTACTTAATATATGCATATAATATATATATATATATATATATATATATATATATATATGTGTGTGTGTGTGTGTGTGTGTGTGTGTGTGTGTGTGTATGGTCTGTGTGTGTGTGTTCCTAAATATAGCCCATTTGTTTTGTCCAATGCCACTGCATGTATGTTTGCAGGGATGACTATTTGCCACTGGACAACCAATTGCTATTATCTTTGCTGGGGAAGAACATCTCTTCTATCTCTTGCTCCCAGTTTTCTTGGGTTGCCTGTGGGTTAAGGCTTTGTGAAATGTTCCTCCGCTACTTTTGCATGTCCATTGGAATATTTAAAGAATTTTAAGAACCTGTTTGCTATTTTATTATTAACTACTATTGGTATTATTATTACACTTCACATAATTTACCTTCATAATATTATTTATTAGAATATATAATTGAACATGCCTACCAATTTATAGAACTTAGCATATGACACCACTTCTTTATAAAATGATAGAAGCACTACTATTATATTAGAGTTACAATAATTTGGTTTCATATTTTCTGCCTTTTGAATTGAAATTATCTAATCTCGTGTTATTTTCGATGTCTCACTGCCACATTACAATTTACATTGCAGAGTAGCTTTGGTTAATATTCTGAAATTAAGAAAATTGTATTTTTTTCTGAAGTACTTTAATTAAATTACAATATATTATTTTCCCTTGAGAATCAGTCAGACTAGAAATAGAGTGCATTTGAACCACATTTTAGTTTTTCTATCATCATAAGATAATAATGAAAATGATCTTGTTTATACTATATATATATATATATCATATGTATTATATATAATATAGTACTTATATTAGAAGCAACAAACATGTTTTGGGGGCATCAATATCTGCTATATATTTTTAGAGACTTAACTTTCTTTGAAAAATATCTCCACATAATCATTTGTGGCCATTCTAAGAATGTGTGTTAAGCTTGCTAATAAATTTTCTTTGATATCATGTAGTTTATAAACATTCTCTATGCTTTCTCTGCTATGAGGATATACTTTCTGTATTTCCTTTTGTAAAATGGTCCAGGAAACTAGATGTAAATTGAGAAGCAAACTAGATATGAGTTGCAGTGACAAAATAGTGGAACTATCCAATAATTACTTTTATAGTCAAAGCATTTCATTCTTTCATTTCTTTAAATATTGTTATTTATAGGGTGGTTGAAATGTATCAGTGAGTAAAGTCACTTGAAAGAAAAAGATATATGAATGATTATTACAGTGTGGATTTAATGATAAAAATACTCACTTCACACCATAATGTGTTCAGTAAATAGGGACAAACTTGTTTACTTTTTTGTCAGTGCAAATAACTTGGCACATAATTAATGTTCAGGTATACTAGACTTTCATTTATTAATATATTTTAAGGGTAGGTGTTATGTCATAGAATGCTATGATTCCCTGAATGTGATCAGTTTAATAAAACACTCATAATAAACATTAAATAGTGTGGTATTAAAGCTAATTGAACTAAATTGGTGGTATATAATCCCAGCAGTTGCACTAATTTGTGGTTCCCTGGAAATACCTAGCAATATTCTGAACTACAAAGTGAGACACTGTATCAAAGAGAGGATTTAGAAGGAAGGAAGGAAGGAAGGAAGGAAGGAAGAAAGGATGGAATGAGGGAAAGAAGGGAAAAGGAATACTACAAGAGCAAATGAAAGTTCAATGATCTCCCTATTTCTGCAGTTTCTAAGCTTAATTTGAAGCAAAAATGGACAAAAGCAACCACTTGCAACATGGACATGTGGGGCCATTCTCCATTAAGTTAATGCTGAAAACAAAAAATGGAATGAAGTAAGGAATACACTTGTAATTTAGAGGCCCTAGATCACCTTCTTGTCACATTACCATTGTACATAACAACAAAAATTTTGCAACTATTGAAAATTTCAATATCTTCACCAAAAAGATTGGTATAAAGAAAAGTCCTTCTTTGAAGGGATCTAGTTAATCACTTTGGAAAATGTAACATTTACATTTTCTGATATGAATTGGATGTCAGTCATCATTCTAAATGGTTTCTCTGTGTGTTTAATTTTCTGCCCCACTAAAGACGTGGGAGTTAGATTTAACAATTTGTGCTTTGTTGACAAAGAAAATAAAAGAGTAAAACATAAAGTAGACAAATAATTTGATGAGAGTAATAAAGATCAGCCAAAGAAAACCAGAATTTGATTTCAACTTTTGAAATTCACAGCTTTAAGGAAGGTGACAAACTGTGCTTCATGACATAAACTAAGGACTCCACAAATGGTGTGGATAACATTTGTACAGAATACTTATGTGTGCTTGTGGTGACATTATTCGTGGATACATGTCTGGAATGAGTATAATCAATCATTTTCACCTCCGTTGAATGGAGAAATATAGACACATTTTAATCAAAATATTTATATTCTTTAGAATTTTTATAAGTACACATTCTTCAGAAATAACAGTAAAGAGAATTTTCTAATTTTAATAAAATTGAATTATAAGAACATATTATAATAATAGATTAACTAAAGATCAGTTAAGATGGTACACTTAAAAACAAAAGAGCCAATTACAGTGAATAATTTAGGATGTTGCCTAAGTCATTTTGAAGAAGGAGGCAAAACATTTCCCTAACTGTTTACTGGAGGCATTTAATTTATGCTGTAATAAAATTTATTTTACTGTGAGTCACCAAAATTCTTCCTCTGAATAGTTTCTTACTGAAATGAAGTATATAGATCATGGTCTGGTTCCATGTTCTCTGGACACTAGTGTTTGACACAAAAATAAAATGCTATTAATTTGGAAGCACAAAATTTTGGTATACTCCCTCAAAGATTTCATGACCAGTCAAACTTAGCCACAACCTCCTAATCCCAAAATGTTCTCTGAACACTAGTGTTTGACACAAAAATAAAATGCTATTAATTTGGAAGCACAAAAAGTATTTGACAAAATAGCTTTCTTACTCCGAGTGAAACTCATTAAATCAGAGTATTCTAATCACATTTTGAAGGAACACAGAACACCTGTATTGCTACTAGAAAGGAAGCATTAAAACATGCAAAAAAGTCATCTATATAAAAACAACCTTTCCCAGAAAATGAAAAGTCCTTGTTGGGTGTTGGTTTGGGGAGCCTGTAAGTACAGTTCTTTACATGAAGCATTGATGGACCTCTTTCCTAGTATACATGGTTTTAACTGTTTAAACTTGGAATGCATTAAATATTCTAAGAAAGTGCATGTTTTCAAATTTAATAACTGAGATTTTCTAGCACACAGAAACAGAGACTACATAAATAGGAGAGCATATCTCTAAAGTTCCAAGACAGATCATTCCTAAAATCTCTTACTTTATTAAGAGTGACTCAGGGGTATTGCAACACCTACAGATAACACATTCTATTCTGGCTTTTTTTGAGTTAAACCTTTCTCATATATAGAACTGGCTTTGGCTTTGTCTAGCCAATTTCTAGCTGTTGCAAAGAGTAAAATACAGGAAAGTTGTCAAGGAAGCTGGAAATAAGTTAGTGCATCAGACATCTTACTCTTATAATAGTCTAGCAATAAACCTTAGAAAATTTAATGAATTTGTCTGAAACTCTTAGATCATCTGGGAAAACATTGCCACAGAATTACTGTTCAATTACTGAGATAATAAACATGATTAGTGATTAGAAATAAAAGTATTATCATTATTTTCTTGTGTTATCTTTACTGTGATTACACCTCAAATCATAGAAATCATGCTCTTCCAATATCCAGTGTTATGGAACAGCAAAAATAGAAAGGTAGATAGATGGGGAAAGAGAGAGAGAAATCAAATGAATGAGTTGTTAAACAGGGAGAATGAGACTGTTTGCTGTGCTTGAGCCTGGGATAAATTTAAAAACTTTTACTTTTATTATTTTCATACGTTCTATACTGATATTTTCTCTACTTTCCCTCCTCCCAGGCCTCCCCCACATCACGTCTCTCCTAGATCCATTCTTTCTCCACTTCCCTGCCAAAAAAGGAGCAGGTCTTCCAGGGATGTGAACAGAAAATGGCATAACAAATGACGGTAAGACTAGACACAAATCTTCATATCAAGGCTGGATGAGACCACCCATTATGAGGAAAAATGGAATGAATTTTTGAAAGTTGGAAAATGAGGATGAGAGAGCCACAACTTTTTAGTTGGTGTGTTCTATTTTCCCCAGGCAGAACCTGGATCTGGTAGAATTGACCATTCAAGTGGTTGCTTCTGTGCTGTGAATCATCGAGCTGCTATGTGTTCATTTGAAGGCAGACAGAACATCTTGTTTGATAACCAGCTTCAAAGAAAGTGAATAGTTAATGACATGAAGATGCCATCTTTTCCAAAAAAAGGCAAGTATACTTAAGGTAGCACACACCTTGATGGACAGAGAGGCAAAGGTATGTTTACAGCTTAGAAATGAAATAGCATCTAGTCTCATGAATCAATAAATTGTTTTGAGGAGTACGGAGGGAGGTTTTTATTTTTTTTTATTTATTTTTTTTTGAGAAAGGGTTTCTCTGTGTAGCTTTGGTGGAGCCTATCCTGGCACTCGCTCTGGAGACCAGGCTGGCCTAGAACTCACAGAGATCCGTCTGCCTCTACCTCCCAAGTGCTGGGATTAAAGGCGTGCGCCACCAATGCCTGACAAGAGGGAGGTTTTAATATGCTGAAAAGAGTTAGTTTTTCTTCAAAATGGTAACCAATGGCATATTGACTTTCCTAATTTAGTCAGTTGGATCTAAAAATGTTTCCAACAGTGAAATTTTATGCCATGTTCACCTATTTATTAATTTAACCAATACAAGCTGTGCCCATTAATAAAAATACCAAAGTACACATTAGACCAAATGCTGCTTCTGACGGGCTTGCTCTTCTTACGAAAGTTCACAGTCCAGTGGGAGAAATACCTGCTCTAACAGAGAATTTCAATAAATGGAAAAAGTGAATGTTTTCCTAAGAGGGTTACCACAAGCCTCTTAAAATTGGTAAGAACCAAGTTGATTTTTTTAAAGATAAGAAGTAAATTTCATGTCCAACAACAAACAAAACCAAAAGAGCAATAGTAAAACCCTCAATACTGCCACAACAATTAGCATTATAAAGTCTCTTAAAACAATTTCTGTCCTACTACATTATTTCACAGCATAGAACTTCTATATCTGATATGTAGTGTGATATTATAATTTACTGTGGCTATATTTTTGTGTTGTGTCTTCCACATTACTCATTGCTTTAACTTCTGGATTCCAAGTGCATCATTTATTCCATTCGATCCAATCAATCCAATTCACTCCAGTTCGATTCAGTTAAGTGGTGACACTATTTACCTAGCAATGGCCTTAGTCACACAGATTTAGAGTTCCACTACAAGACTGACCACAGCTCAGAAACTAGTCACCAATCATGGTTCTCATCTTTGCTGGTTACTGGCCCTCTCTAAGCAATGTTTCTCAAGATCACCTACTTGAGTTGCTTGAAATTGGAGCATAAATAACAGGATTCAGGGAAACATTTTGCTTCACTACTATTTCTATACTTTCTTATAATCATTACTTATAGGGAGTATAAACTTTAAAAATATGGGCAAGAAACGAAAGGCCAAAAGAAGAAATGAACAATGTGAGATGTGTGGAAAATGTGTGCTTTCCATGTTCCTCCTTCTAAGACTTTCATGTGTTTAGCCTCTCAGAAATGGGTCATTTAAATGACAATAGGAATTCCTATCACTCAAATCCTATCAAGTGTTTCAATATCAGGAACTTGGGACAAGTATACAATTTGTCAATAGTGATAGTGAGCTGCTTTAGTTTATTTAACATATGTAAAGTATTGAGGTAAATAGTTTACAAGCATTTACACATATTATCGTGAAATAGCAATTGAGTAAATTTCATCATTAATTCTTAGGAGAAAAGTGATAGCAGGACACCTATAAGGAAGACAGGAGGCTTTTAAACCAGGCAATCTGACTCAATTCTTAAAACCACTTCAATAGAAGATCTATGAATAAGCACAATTACTCTTTTCAGTCTGGTGGCAGTCTGTGGGGCTTCTGGCAGTGGAAACAGTGTTTATCCCTAGTGCATGAATGGGCTTTGAGAGCGCATTCCCTAGGGAGGTATATTCTCTTAGCTTAGATACACAGGGATGGGCCTATATCCTGCCCCAAATGATGCCAAGGACTATGATGATCCCCCATGCGAGGCCTCACCATCCCTGAGGAGTGGATTGGAGGGTGGGATGGAGGGATGAAGGGGGAATGGGAGGGCAGGAGGGGGAGGGAACTGGGATTTGTATGTAAAATAATATAGTTTTTAATTTTAATAAAAATTAATTAAAAAACAATTATTCTACTGTGGAAAAACTCTAAATTGGAGCATTAAGAAATTAGAGAGAACTTTCTTTGTGCCAGGACCTGTGATGAAATAAACTTCAAAGAAGAGTTAGAATACAGCATCCTAACAGAAAATTAGACTGAAGAAATGTTTAAAGAAAGAACAGTAACTGGTAATTAATATCGCCAGTTCCATTTCCATCTGCTCACTACCAATGTCCAAAACCAAGAGCTGACAGGTGATGATGGGAATGATATCGGATTTATAAGGGCATGAGAATCCTAGAAGAGAGGAAAGAACTATGGTGTTTACCACAAATCATAGGGAACTAGAATGCAAAGGGGCTTTTAAAAGGAGGCAAATGAGATGTCATGAGGAGAGACACTGCATGCTGAGTATGTCTTCTCTCCACCCAATGTTTCTTTTAGATATAACTGATGTTTTTCTGTCTTGAACATTACACTTGGATTTGATCTTCTGGGTCTAGAAGTGATTATACTACTTTTCTTCAATATCAGAGCAATGTAAACATTTGTTATTAGATCAATGAAAATAAAGATTAAAAAGTTGTTATGTAATCTGATATCTCTTAACATTTCCAAAATTTTAGGGTTCTATAATGTAAAGAAAAATTTTGAGCAGTTAACATGTGAAGTATTCAGAGAAGAGAACATCAGTAAAACATAAAAGTAAAAGTAAGTCCCCATTGAAACTCTCTGTGATTAGTTAATCAACTGCTTCACCAAAGTGAGTAGGGCAACAGATAAATGTTGTTTGCAGGTTTTTGTTGAACATGATGTGAATGTGTTGAGTTGGATGGTTTTATGTGTAAACTTGACACAAACAGACATCAGGGAGAAGGAGTCTTAGTTTTGGGAATGCTTTCATGAGATCCAGCTGTAAGCCATTTTCTCAGTTAGTGCTCAATGGGAAAGGTTCCATCCCATTGTGGGTGGTGCCCTCCTTGGGATTGTGACCCTTGGTTTTTATAAGAAATCAGGATAAGCAGGTCAGGCGAAGCAAGCCAGTAAGTAGCTCCTCTCCATGAACTCTCCATCTGTTCCTGCCTCTAGGATCCTGAGCTGTTTGAGTTCCTGTCCTGAATTCCTGCAGTGATGAATAGCAATGTGGAGGTATAAACCAAATAAACCCTATATTCTCTAAGTTGGATTTCTTGACATGGTGTTTTGTCACAGAAATAGAAGCCCTAACTAAGAACAATTGGTACCAGTGAAATGGAGTATTGATGTGACTGACAAGACCATGCTTGGGGGAGTATTGTGGAAGCGATTTCCAATTTGGGGCTGGTAATACATCGAGTGTTAAGAGCTCTGTGGGATATTCTGTGGAATCTTTCAAGATAAGAATGTTGAAGGCAATGCAGAAGATGAATGCCTGACTCATGAAGTTTCAGAGTGAAGTTTCAAGACTCTCTGAGGGACATTTGTTATTTTGAATTAAAATTCTATGGTTAGCATCAATTGTTCCAGTAACATAGAGGTTTCCCTTTAGTAGTTCCAGTATCTTGTTAATCACAGCTAATTCTTCAGCCCCAGCCAACCAGAACTATAGAATTTTAATTCAAAATAATATTGAGTCCTGTTAGAGTCATTAAACTTCTCTTTGGAGCTAAGGAATTAGCAGTGATTAAGAGGAGACAGCATTGTTGAGGTAAAATCTTCAGAGAAGTGTTTTCTGAGAGCCCAGAGAAGCTGTGATCCAGAAGTGGCCATGGTTTTACTTCATGTTGATGTTACAGTTATAGAAACTCTGACTAAGACATATGTTGAAATAACGTGAAGAAGGAAAACCATCAGGAAGAAACACTGAAGGAATTAAAACAGTGAATCTTGTTTGGCACACTGAGTTCATCCATTTAAAATGAGACACATACATCTAAATAGTTACGTGTGTAGGCATAGATCTGGGCTGTTCTCCATCTTGGTCAGAATAGCTTCTTTTCAGTGAGGAATAGTCAATGGAGAGATACATAACAGGTCAAAGTACTGAGAGTTAGGGAGCATTACACAAGACACCAAGTTTCAAAAAGCAACACAGAAAAGGAGGGATGAAGAACATAAAATTGGGGAAATGGAGAAGCAAGTCATGAAACACTATATTCTTGCTATGACATGGCAATTGCTCTAGTGACCTCAGAGCAATGGTAGTTTCCTGCACAAAGTCAAGTCAACAAAATGTCCTTCATATTAGGCATCTAGGAAATAAAAGTAACAGTATAATAACTGTTATTACTAAAAAATAATGGATGACATTTTACAGATGAAGAGGAACAGAAACTTTCTCTTAAATATTTAAAACAGGATAATAACATATACCCTTAATGTTTAAGAAATAAAAAATGCTAGAAATTGTGGTCAAAGCAAGCACATAACATAAAAGTTTAAATTGTCCTGTGTGTAAGATGATGGGACATTAGATGCAGCAAATTTTTAAAACATGTCCCAAAAGCTATATGAATAATAAATGAGTTCACCAATGTTATGAAATACAAAATCAATATACAAAGCCAGTAATGTTTACACTTGTCAACAGAAAAACATATAAAATTAAAGAATACAGTTTACTAACAAAATTGCATTGGATATATAATAATAAATATATAAATAATATAAAAATGATGTTTTGAAATAAATTTAGCACCAAAGATGAAAGATGTCTATAATAGAAATTACAAAGTACCCATAAAACTTTGTCAAGACCACAGAAAAGGACAGGCCCATTCTGAGTTCATGTGTGAGAGTAATAAATATTGTTGAAGTGCATATACTACAGAGTAAGTTCAATCATTATGAAAATGCCAATGGCTGTTTTCACAGGACTGAATTGTGGCATTTATATAGAATCATAAACAAGGACTGTATAAACCCATTATAAAGGGAAAACAATCACATCCTAAGAGATAAACGATACTTGAGAAGATCAAATAGACTATTGTTTCTAGAGGTGTACCAAAGTGTCAAATAGGTCAAGCCACTTGAAAGTGC